GACAAAATACGGTTATTTGTTGAAGAAATATTTGTGACCTATTCCTGGATACCATCCTCTTTTCTAGTCTTTTGGTACACAGTGGGAACTTGTCTAGTGGGGATAAGAAGAGTTAACAGAGGGAAAAATGTAATGCAGCATTTTTTTTTACGAACAAAATAAATCAATCTCTGTGGTCCTCCTCTGAGCTTATATAGCATGTGGACTCATTCCTCTCATTACATTTAATCTATACTCTAATTCTTAGTTTAAATGTCTTTCCACCTCACTAAAATGTAAACGACTTAAGGGCAAAAAATGTACCTCATTTATCTTCGAATCCCTGGCATCTAGCTCGGTATCTGGCTCATTATAATGGCTCAAGACCTATATTGTTAAATAAATGGATTTCCCTACTTTACAAGTTCCCTCTTTTCCTTCTCACATGAATACTCATAATCCTGTCTCCCTTCCTCTCTTTCCTCACCCCACCACCTCAAAATAAAAACCAATGCTAACTGTATGATGGAAACAGCTGAACTCCCCAAGGACTGATGTTTACATAGTGATATTTAATCAAACATGCTTAGCTCATAAGAAAGACTCAATTAAAAAAATATTGAATAAATGAATAACTTTAGATTTTAAAAATGTCATTCAGGAAAGTAATAGGGAAAAGCTAACCACCACCCCCCAACACAAATTCACAGCTAGCATTTTTAGAGAACTTATAAATTGCCTGATATTGCAGGAGAAATCCACATGAAACCACAAATAAAAGATAGAGTTATTAACACCAGGGAGACATCAACTTAAAGTACAGGCAGAAACTAAGTCGCAGAACTAAGGATTTATAATTCTTAGAGTCTTGCGGAGAACAACGCTGTCCTTTTTTGTGACACGCCTGAGTTCAGGCAAGCTCTTTTCAGGGGTTTCTAACTTCAAGACTTAACTGGGAGCCTGCGATACATTTCCATCCTCAAATGTATCCTGCGATACATTTCCATCCTCAAATGTATCCTGCGATACATTTCCATTCTCAAATAGAGACTTGCTCTTGCCTTTCTGGTAATGAATGAACAGTTACAGCCCTTGGTTACAATTAGTTTTTGCTTCTGGAGCATTTCCCAGGGGTGATATGCCAATGCTTCCAGGAGGAGATTGTGAGGCAGATCTGGAGGCTGGGGCTCTGCTGAAGCAAATGTGCTCTTATGGGATGCGGCTGTGAACACAGTATGTGCTAAAATGTAAATAACACAGCCAAAAGCACCAAATGCCACTTTTTACAAAAAAAAAAAAAAAAAAAAAAAAAAAGAAAAGAAAAGAAAAGAGGATGATTCTGAGCAGCAGTTACAGGCATACACATACATGGATGCATTTATATTTGTACCCCCAAACCAGCAATCCTGTGAACGAGTCAGGCATTATTAAAATCGTAGGAATGACCAGTGATTCAGTGTTTTCCTTCTGTGAGTGACCAGCACCAAACCCTCCATCTGAAACTGGAAACCCTGGAATTCACATGGCCAATTATGCAATACTAGACCACTGGGAAGCATTTCTGGCTGGCTCAGCTGGTGATCTGCTTTTACCCTGCAGCACCAAGATTGATAGACCTTATAATTTTATCCTGGTTAGTGCAGATGCTGTTCTTACATAAGTTGAAAAAAATAAAAAAACAAAACCAAAAACTACGCTCTTTCTCTCAAAAGAAAAACAAACTAAGCCCTTCCCAAGTGGTTTGCCTTGATGACACCTCATGGTAGTAAGATCAGTACCTTGATCACTGGCTAGATTAAAAAAAAAAAAAAAAACCTTTCGCGATTTCTGAATTTTCTGTAGCTTTCATCGAATCCTGAACGTGCTTGTTTATGAGAAAGAGTGAAGAAGAGGAACAGCAGTTTGTTCCCCTCTAAATCACTCCTTTTGGGATCCCTGGGTGGCGCAGCGGTTTGGCGCCTGCCTTTGGCCCAGGACGCGATCCTGGAGACCCGGGATCGAATCCCACATCGGGCTCCCGGTGCATGGAGCCTGCTTCTCTCTCTGCCTATGTCTCTGCCTCTCTCTCTTTCTCTCTCTGTGACTATCATAAATAAATAAAAATTAAAAAAAAAATAAATCACTCCTTTTATGAGGCTTCTTTGGGTATGAGGGGGATGGGAAAGAGACTCCTTCTTAGAAGGTACAGAATATCAAGTCGGGAGCCCTTAGTTTCCCTTATGCTAATGACGAGGTATAATTTTAAAACATCACATTCATATGCATATATGATGCATACATACATAATTAGTATATTTACAAAGCCCCTTGCGGAATCTTAGAACTCCTAGTTCCATTAACCCTTCAAGGGAAACCCATTTCGTAACAGTCAAGCACAATGGAATGTGTTTCCCTTCAAGTATATTCACCCAACCTCCTTATCTACGAAAGAGACCTCCAAGAAAGTGAAATACATTTTTTTTTCCTGAAGCACTGCCACAGCCTGTTACGTATTTATCTGCTTTTGCAGCTCTAATTACAAAATAAGCACTAGCTACTACATGGAATAGCTATACTAGCCAAAAAGATTTTTATAATCTGGGAGAAATGCTCCCATATTGACTCTGCTAAGAGAAACAACTCCCCTTTCCTTGATTATAAAGAAGGAAGACAGATGGCTTCTTGTTTAAGACTGTAATTTTACTTTCAGCCTCCTCCCTCAGTTAAAAACAAGATGTACTTTGAGGCTTTGAGGGAAAATCTCAAGGGAAGGTTTTTTTCTTCCTGACTGCATTGAATAATTCAACAAACACTTGAGAGAGCTGAGGGAAATACAAAGAAGAAAATCCTTTCCCTTGTTCTCAGGGAGTTTACAGTCTAATTGTGAAGTTTATAATCAGAATTGGGACGAGAGCCATTCAAGTTTTATTTTTTTTTCACTTCTATATAGTGGCTTGATGGTTCCTGGTAACACACTGAGGATTTACTAGCCCAGAGGTACGGTGCACCTTTGGAACAGGCTGAACAAGAACACGGATAGGATGCAGAGGAAGCATTGATGATCTCAAGCAGTACTTGTGGAGTGGAGCTCTACCTACTAGCCGCTTTCTTACCTAATCTTGAAGGTAACCCTTCCTGGTCATCCTATCATCAACAGGTCACAGGAGACAAGAAAGTGGTTTAGAAAGGTGATTCATCCGCTGTCACAGATCTAGGAAGTAGTATTGGAATACACCAGTCAGGGATTCTTCATTGGTCTTTTGTTTGTTTGTTTTGTTTTTTAGCCGTCTCCAGGTTCCTGTTATGACTTCCCTTGGCTTTCAATGCACATAGGTCAACTGACTTCAGTGCTGTCTTTTTCCCCCTAGACTTGGAGTAATCTCTAAAATTTGCTGTCTCTCATTTGGGTAGGCCTTCTAAAGCCTCGCTGCTTTGCACCTTTGTAAAGAAACTCCCCTCCCTCCCCCATTCTGTCTTTGAGACATTCTTTGGCAGGATGAAATGAAACCTGTAAAAGGCTTGCAACAGTGCTTGGCAGGCGGTTCTCTTAATTTTGACCCTGATCTTTAAGTTTTATTCCCGCCACCCTTTCACTTGCTTCTTTTCGCCTTTTCTTTTTAAACACTTGCTTCTTTCACCTTTTTGGTTTTTTTTTTAAAGGATATATATTTTTAAAGATCTTATTCATGAGAGACACACACAGAGAGAGGCAGAGGGAGAAGCAGGCTCCATGCAGGGAGCCGGATGTGGGACTCGATTCCGTGACCCCAGTATCAGGCCCTGGGCTGAAGGCAGGTGCTAAACTGCTGAGCCACCCAGGGATCCCCTTGTTTTTTTTTTTTTTTTTAAGTAAACCCTACACCAACATGGGGCTTGAACTCAAGACAAGGTGGAGAGTTACATGCTCCATCAAGGGAGCCAGCCCTGGGGCCCCTATTCCTTATTGGATGCTATTTCCCCAGGGCTGTACGTTTCTTGAAGGTGGCGACCACGTCTATTCTAACTTGTTGCAAGTCCACAGGGTATTAATGTAGCAATGGGGACTGGTTAAGACCACAGAAGCTGTCATTCTGGTTCACTTCTTCATCCCCAGTACCCGTACGTTACTGGAACTAAGTAGGTCCTCAGTTAACTCTTTTTAATAGGAACGACTTGATACTGGCTTATTGCTTTTTGCGGACAATCCTGCATAAGAAAGTTTCGTTCGGACCAACATCGCTCTGCACTGGGAGCCTCGGCGAAGCTGCTCCCTGTCTCCCCATCCATGGCTCTTTGTAAACATTTTGACCTTGGGGTTGCGTGCATCTTACTAGGCTGTCTCCTGCAAACGCTCAGGTTCATCAGCAAAACGGGGCCAGCAGCAACAGATGCAGGTCTCTCCCCGTCGTCTACCACCCACTCCGTCACCAGGCAAGGTCGAGTGTGTACACTTTCCTCTCGGGCCAAGAAGCCACCGCGGAAGCAGGGAGGTGCCAGCGGGGTCTTCGGGCTGCGCGCCCAGCGAGCAGGGCGAGCGAGCAGCGCACGAGCCTCGCCGGAGCCTCCCGGGTCCGGAAGCGCCACAGCCCCCGGCGCCCTCCGGCTCCGAGGCAGCGCCGTGCCTCGGTGCCACCGCCAAAGAGGCTCGGCCCTGCGCAGGCTCGGACGCGCGCCGAAAGGCCCGGGCTCGTTGGGGCCGCCGCCGCCCGGCTGTCGGCGCGGCGCTGCACTGGGGGGCGGGGAGTCTGATGGGAGACGCGCGCGGCGCGGAGGAGGCGGCGGCCCGGGAGAGGGAGAGGGAGCGGGAGAGGGACTGGGCGCGGGAGGCGGGAGGCGGGAGGCGGGGGACAGGGGGAGGCGCCGCCGCCGCCGCCGCCCGCCCCTTTCCGCTGGGGAGCAGCTGCAGCAGCAGGAGCGGAGCAGGAGCCGCGCAGCCGCCGCCGCCGCCGCCGCCGCCGCCGCCGCCGCCGCCGCCGCCGCCGCCGCCGCCGCCGCCGCCGCCGCCGCCGCCGCCGCCGCCGCCGGGGGATGTGGCCGGCGCCCGCCCCGAGCCGCGCCGCGTCCTGAGCGCCCCGCCGCCGCCCGAGCCGCCGCCGCCCGAGCCGCCGCGCCGTGCGGGGCCAGGCCGCGCCCTCCCCGGGCGCCCGCCGGCTCGCATGCCGAGGGGCTCCGGGGCGTAGCTGCGCGCCGGGCGCCGCCTCCGGGCTCCTCCGGCCCCGCCATGGGCTGCTGCAGCTCCGCCTCCTCCGCCGCGCAGGTGAGGGGCTCCCGCCTCCCGGACGCCCGCCCGGACGCCTCCCCCGCCCGTGCGCCCCTTCGGCCCCCCGCGCACTCCGGAGGGCGCCTGTCCCGCAGGTGCCCCCGCAGGTGCCCCCGCAGGTGCCCCCGCGCCGCCTCTGCGCCCCCCCCCCCCCCCCCGGCTCTGCGGGCGCCTTCCCGACTTGGCCTCCTCTTCCCAGTCACACCTGAGCGGCCCGTCCCGCCGCCTGCAGGTAGAGGCGGCCCGGGCGCCTGCCCGCTGCTGTGCCCCAGGTGGCACCCGGTCCCCGTCTTCCGGGCCCGCGCCTCTCCTCGCATCCCCGGGGAGGCTCCCCTTCCCCATCCGCCGGCCGCGTGCTGTGCCCCCAGGCGGAGTGCCCCCAGCGTGGGCTCTTCACCCCTTGGCCACCTTATTCCAGTTTCTGCTCCATCAGGCATTCATTCTGCCCCTTGCTCGTGGTCCCCGACCCCGGGTCCAAGTGCTGGAGCGCGTTCCCGAGCCCCTCCACCGCCCGCCGCCCGCCGCCCGGTCCCCACCGGCCCGGCGTGCGCCCCATCCCCCCGTGCCCCGACCCCGGCTCCGCGGCCTCTGCGCACCCGAGGCCCCTGCGGGAGCGCTGCCGCTAAGCCGGGCAGGAGATTGGGCACCTGGTGGGTGACGGGAGCGTTACGGAAACTCCCTCTTTGTTGCCAGTGTAACAGGAGGAAGAGGTGCCGAATTTAGTTTTTCTGTGGGCACTGGCTGAATGTTGTCGCCGAGGGCTGAGATGCAGAGATTTCTCCCAGCTTCCACCCTGCCCCCATCCAGATTTCGCTCACCTCCCTCTCCCTTGCCGATCCGAGCCTTGAACCTGGGTGGAAATGTTTAGACAACTGTATAAGGATCAGATGTAATGGAACTTGACTGCTGGCCTCTAATAACTGAGAGGACCTGTTTGTAAATTACCTAATTTAGTGGATTAGTGAGTGTATTTACAAATACGATAAAAAGCCATCAGGAATACTGCATCAAACTGTCTGGCGGTGGTGTATGAAAAATAGGCTCTGACAACGCCTGGGATGTGATCTCACAGTTTCATTAGCGTAGAATTTAACTGTGGTCTTTGGTTTGTTTGTTTTGGGGGAGACAAGGGCTCTTGTTTTTAGAAATAAAGGCTGGTTGGTTCTTGGTGAAGAAAAAAAATGCTAGTTTGGGGAAAAAAAAAAATTTCCTCCAGAGATCTAGCATCTGCGATAATGCCAGAAGTATTTTGCTGCTGCTAAATGACTATATATAACTCAGTTTTAAATAACCTGCATACTTGTTCTGAAAATCTGAGATCTGTTAGAAAATGACTAGAATTGCAGATGAATGGAGGACATTTATGTTTTATCAAGTATCCAACCCATTTGTCCAGTTCTTTTTTTTTTTTGGGGGGGGTGTTTGCTTACTGGTTCCCCCCCCCCTCCCCTACTAGGATCACAGTCAGGCTGATTGGTTTAGTTAGTTAAACCTTCCTATTTAGTTGGAATAGCAGAGAAAACTATGTGTGGTTGGTGCTATGGAGCAGAGGTCGATAGACCAGGGTTTTCGTATTAACAGTTAAAGGTGTGGGATTACACAATACCTTTCCACTGCTTAGGGAGTTTTGGGGGAGGGGGAATCTAATTGAGTGCTATTCGTCTAACATTTACTTACATATTATTTTCAATAAAAAGGTGTTTTCATACTGCTTTTCTTTTAAGAGCTGGGCTACTTTACATCCTCTTTTGGTGGTGAAATGCCTTTAAGGCAGGAAATTATTGATAGTTTGTAGATGGCTTGTTCAGTGTGTGAACAGTTAAAATTGGGAGGGAGGAACGCTGGACCAAAACTCTGCTTTAATCATAGGTCTTGCATTTGACTAGCTCCACATCTTACTTTTCAGAATGCTGTCACATACGTTTTCTTTGCCTTTTCCTCCTCTTGTAGTCACTGTTTCCTTCATGCCACGTTCTACAGACAAGATGCATGTCATGCACCCTCAGGGGTGCATTTTTTTTTTCTCTAGATTCCTATAACCAATTGACAGCTGTCACATGCCTTTAAGTTCAGCTTTAGGGACTTGTAGTGTTCAGTGGAGCATTGAGGAGCAGGTTTTGTGCCAAAGAGCTCTTTTTTTTTTTTTTTTAAATTTGAGATTTTGGCATCATTCTTCATTTGTGAAATGTTACCAGTCTACTGGCATTTAAATGCCCCTTTCAGGAGTATTTCTGGATTTAGAATAATATATCTATATATATTATGTTGAAACAAAATAGGAATGCAACTTCGCATCACTTTGAACCTCTCTTGGAGGCCTCGGTAATTTCAGGCAGAATAGGTTTCTTTTCATCCCTTCTACTGGTCTGTAAGCTTCTTGAGTATAGGAACTGTTTTTGTTTTTCTCATTTTTGTATCCATTGCAGTGCCTCACTGTTATATACCTTGTACAGAATAGTTGCTCAGCAATATTCAGTAAACAGAATTATGTACACACATTTGAACATCTGGCTGCAAATAGCATTGAATATGAGTCCAGCCCTGACCCATGTGCTGTTTTCACTTCCATAGGCTGGTTGACTAATTCTATCAAGCTATCCTCTTTGAAGCTCAAATTTGAACTGTTTAAGTTAAAACTGACCTGCCTTTCCCACGTTCCTTCCTATTCTGTCAATGGCACCATCAGTTTGCAAAATTGAGCAGGATTTTCCTTTTCTCCTGGTGCTCTGCTCAATGCCTATATTTTAGCTGGAGCAGTGGCTGTAACATCTTTAAAAAGCTTGTCTGCAAACTCTAATGATAACCTGCACAGCACATCAAAACAACGTGCTTCGGGGTACTCTGCAGTTCAGCTTAGCTTTTCTCAGTGGTATCGTCAGCAATTTTAAAGCTCTGGCAGGTTTTATCAATGTAAATATAGTACGTTTCCTTTTTGTAGTAGCGATTCACTTTTGAAATGTAATTTATATTTCCTCCTAGTCTCTTGCTATGTTGTAGACTCTCATGAAAGAGTTTATGGCCTTCCCAACTGTTTCGTCTCTTTTAGCCTGTCCTGGTATTATTTTCATTTTCTTGGCAGTGTCTGGATATCATAATTTGCCATCAAAATAATTACCCTGTTTTAGGATTTAGATCAAAGGAAAGTGTCACATTCTATACTAACTTGCATTTCATTGCGGAAGGAGCAAATTATTGGCAGAATAATTTGTGCTGTATCAGTTATGTACATCTAAGAATCTTAAGAATATCTAGTGAGTCAGGGCTCTTATAGAACTCTTAATTATGATTTTTATTAGTGACCACTATGAGTTATTTGCTAATATTAGTAGCTGCTCAAAACAAGCCAAACACATGATAGCCTTTGCTTAAAAATCTCTTTGAAGGGAACATAAAAGTTGAGATAGTCTTGAGTTTCTTTTTACAGCACTAATCTTCCCTAAGACTCTTAAAATTTATTCCAACTCTCCATAATTCGTTTGTTCTGTTATAACCTGACATAATTTCTATTCTTGTAATGTTAAACTTCAAAGTTCACTTGTAAATCTTCAGATTTATGAAATGTTCTTTTCCATTGACAAACCCGTTTGAATGAAGCAGGCTTTCCAAAGATTACTTAGCAAATTGCCGTAAGTCTTTGTCGTTAATGGCTAGATCATTATTTCTCACAGCAGTGCTTTGGAGGCCAGGAGATTTTGCAAGTGCTCTGAAGTTCTGTGTCCTTTGGTTCTAACCTTAGAAATTGTGAGAAAGATAGAGGAGTGTCTTTCTGGTTGAACAAACCGCCTCTGGTCTGTCTGACTTTAGGAGAAATAGTGCTTGTCTATTGTCTTGTCCCATGGTCCTCAAACTGAGAGCTATAAATTTAACTGTCTTTTTCTAGCTCTTACATCTTGTTGAGGGAGTAATAAAAAACAGCCAAGTGGTTCACTAATACTGGTTAACTTTTGAGTATGTTAACTGTTCCTTAACAGATTTTAGTAATACTGTAGTCTCCATCTACTTTGTGGAATTTGGAGTCAGATGATAAAAATGGCATTTGAAGAGTGTGATGGGATTTCCCAACAGAAACTAAATTGTTCCATTAAAATATGTCCAGGAAAGTAGACTTGGTCCAACTAGGGATTAAAAAGTCATGGCATGAAGATGTGTTTTGTTTTGTTTTGTTTTGTTTTTTTCCTACTTCTGAGTGCTCTGCTGTTAGTATGGAAGACCCACTCCTCAAAATATGTAAATCAAAGTTACTGTTAAAATTGGAAAGTAATGGGGATCCCTGGGTGGCGCAGCGATTTGGCGCCTGCCTTTGGCCCAGGGCGCGATCCTGGAGACCCGGGATCGAATCCCACATCGGGCTCCCAGTGCATGGAGCCTGCTTCTCTCTCTGCCTGTGTCTCTGCCTCTCTCTCTCTCTCTCTCTTTCTCTGTGACTATCATAAATAAATAAAAATAAAAATAAATAAAAATAATAAAAATTGGAAAGTAATGTAAAAATGGTAATGCTTTTTGTACCGTTATTTTCCACAGCCATTTTCAGGTATTAATTTCTATAGTAATTCTGAAGTTGACTCTACTCTCATTTTACAGCTGAGGAAATTAGGAGTTGGAGGTTGGGAAACTTGGCTGAAGTCAACTACCGAGTGACAGATCCAAACTTTAACCCTGGTTTCTGGATTGCAGTTCTGTGTTCACATGCATGCTTCCCAAATCTTACATTGCAGCTTACTCTGTCTTTAGAAAAGTTCCACTGGGGCACCTGGGTGGCTCAGTCTGTTAAGCTTTTGCCTTAGGCTCAGGTCACAATCCCAGGGCGCTGGGATCCAGCCTCATTTCGGGAACTGGAAGTGGGGCTGGATCCTCTCTGCTGTTCCTCATGCTTATGCTTTCTCTCTCTCTGTCGAATGGATAAATAAAATCTTAAAAAAAAAAAAAAAGAAAGATCCATTCAATACAATTCTGAATTAAGGAATTTCCAAGTTAAAGTCATGCCACCATTTTGAACT